TAGCATGGACACAAATTCTCATTGTCATTTGTACGGGATTTATGTCAGCATGATTGAAGTATAAACACAACATTTTCAATTTCTCTCTTCGCCAATAAAATCGTACTTTTGCTGACATGCAGGTCATCAACAATAGCTTTTTCGTCGTTCTCGTCAAGCCTTTGTATTTTACAATTATCATTTTGATATGCTTCTGAAAATCAGTTAAAGGCATTTTTAGATTTCTATTGCAAAACTTGAAACTATCAAGACACAAATTAAATTTTTAATCAACAATTACTTGACAACTAAGCAACTTGCTACACACTGATAAAATTTTACGTGTATCAGTTTTATATGTCCACTGCCTTTACATACACCACAAATCGCATTTTACATGAATTTTCTTCTATTGATGGATATACCGATTTAGCAGATTTAATGTTCTGTCATATCAGAACCTTTTTAAATTTTAGTGTTGACTAAATGACTTTTCATATGCATAGTGTTTAGAAATATATAGAAAATTCCATTCGGAGAGGTCAAATATCATTTCAAAATTATTGAACCACTTTCGTATTTAGTTTTTGGATTTTACTTTCTTATTTTGTTTTAAGGTCACCTGACATCTTATTTCTGATTTTAGAGTCGGAAATAAAAATCAGATTGGCATGGGGCTATCGCGTTATGGTCGATTTCACGTAAATTGAGCACAATTTTCAACAAAATGGAATTCTAAAATATGAAGTGATTTTGATATCAGTGTACAATTTGTACTAAATTGTTTTGTTAATGACACTTGTACTCTGTGAGACAAATGTGCATTCACTCACTAGTCAAAATGATTGGGAGAGAATTTCGGTATCCAGCAACCTTATTGAAGGGTATATTGACTGGGAGAGGTAATATAGTTAAACATCAAGAGGTAAGTATTTATTAGCCATTGCGTTAGTTGGTGTGCATTTTTAAACACCATGTACGAATATCTATGGCTTATGTGTCTTTTATTGTGCAGACATAGCATCAGTTCCCATTCAATCATTTTCTGTGATGGACAATCATATTATAGAACTAAAGAATTGCATGAAGGATCTAGGAATAAGTTTTGTTTCCGAACTTTCATTCCTTCAACTTTTAGGTTTTGTTTGCACAGCATTGCCTACATTTTAATTCATAACAAGACCGATTGTGTATTTCTATTTTAAAAAAGTACGAGGACAAAATAAATACCTTACAACGTTCTCTGATCCTGATCTATATTATGTACAAGATTGTACGTTGTCTACCATGACATATTTTGCTAGCGTCACTACTGGTTTTTTCTAAATTTTGTACTTTTTTGTGCAATTTTGTATATGTTTTTACGTTTTGTCAAATTCATTTGTTATTATTGTCCCGTAAACATTACTCTATTGGTTAACAGCGACCATATTATCATCATTATTATTATTATTATGGCACCATATGGTTCGAAGTTAACACAAAACAGATATCAAAAGCAGGACAGTAAATAATGTTTACCCTTTTGTACTTATACCAAAATAGCTGAGTCGACAGTACCTACATTTACAGGCTAATATAACTGCTGTTAGCATTTATAGCAATATTAGTTCATATGTATGCGCTAGTAAATAAATAGTAACACTATAACACGTGAAAATAGCAAAATGTTGCCTTTGAAGCAACAAAAACGAAATAGTGGGGGGTATTATTTGTAAAAAGGCTATATTCTTGCTATCATGTAACGGACCATTCAACCAATTTAGTTTAAATAAAAAAAGCTATCTAAATCTAAAGGTTAGGGTTATGTACCGGAGCAGCTCTACCGTTCCAGTGACCATTGAAATCATGATCAAGTAGTTCACATGCTACCGTCGAATAGAGTGCTGGATAACTATTATGTTGAAACCAGATGTTTTGTCGCACTTTTAACCTTAAGTTTTCAGGTAATATTGGCAGCTCATTTTCCAAAATGTCTCGGTACATTTGACCATTCGAGTTGCTTTCAATAATGTGGTGACTCATTTTTAATTATTTACAATGAAAACGTGGTATTTTCTACTGCAAACGTATTGAAGAATTGAATTTCGTTTATTACCGCGTCATTTGTTATAAATCTAAAAAAATATTTTAAACAAACGTACTTTTAACCGCAGAATCCGAACCTGTAATAAAAATTCGGGGTTCCTATGTAAGATTTCAAGGTTACCCCTCGCTCCACCTACAAGGCGGAGGAAGGAAGTTTTTTCCATTAAAGTATTTCCCCCATGGAATGATTAAATTTTGATTCTGGACATTTTTTTGTAAAATGCTTATTTTTCGAGATATTTGAAAGTTTCAGGTTAAAAAAATCACCCTGTATAGTAGTGTTAGGTCACCTTGAAGAAGATTGCATTGAATAAGCCAGTTAATTACATGATTATATTACCATGATTACTAGAGACAGGCAAAGTTAGTTGTCGATCCTAATTGGAAAATCGGCCCCATGTAATTATTACACACATGTTACTCGATAAGGAAACTATGGCAAATCATAAATCTTTTAGCAATATTGCTGCGCTCAATGTCGTATGAATGTTGTAGGGGTTTGCCCGCCCCATTACCTAATTTGCTAAAGTTCTAAATCTAAGATGTCCAATAATTTCTAGAGTTCTCTTTATCTTTCGACTTGCCAGTTCTTTCCTTCCTTGATAGAAACAAGGTTTCTAGAAAGTTTGTAATGCTGTAATGAAGCGAATTTTCGCGGGTTGTAAACCGGGGCGCGTACCGCGAGAGCCGGGGGAAAAATCGGCGATCGCCGCGTCGCCGCACCGGAAGGAGAAAATTCGGTCTTCAGGCTTCAGAGCAAGAAATGGTGTGGTACTTTTCCCAAAAAGAAGTTTAAGTTTTGTGAAGTGTGCAGTTTGACTCTCCGACCACCGTAAGAACCTTTTTGGGTCATCTGCCCGTTTGCGTAACGGTTTTTGGAATCGCCGCCTCCGAACGAAAAACCGTACCACCGTCACCGGGTTTTTTTCTGTCGTCACCGTCAGAAGTCGAAACCGTCGTGCACACGTCGTGTACCGTCCACGCGCGATTTCCAGGTTTCAAGGTCGTTGCCCCCAGGTCCAGGAGGAGCCCGTCTTGAAGGAAGTCGCCGTCCAGGAGGGAGCGACCGTGCCGGACGTGTTATTATTTTTCATGTTTTGTTTTGCACTGTAGTGAATTAAGACTTAGCCGTAAAATTTAATATTTTAGACGTGTAGCTAGTGGCAGGGAATAAACCCGATTTATTGTTCAAAATATTTGCAGCCGTTTTATTTTATTATTTAGTTTTCGCGGGCGCTCATCACCTGAGATCCATGTATCCGGCTTGAGAGCAACCCCGGCGCTCCCTCCCCCGTGAAGGTCGCCGCAAAAGCCTAGGTCGGCCAGACGTGTTACTTTATCAGCGGCACTGCTCGGTCCAAGGCTTGGCACCCAGGTACGCCACCACCACACGTTATCGGCGAGATTCCGGACCGTCCGTCTCGCCGGAATTTCATCGCAATACGTTGGAAGAATGGGCATACCCGACGATGTTATTGGGAAATTCTCCCCGGAATTCACTCCAAGCCATTTGGTTTGAGTACTTCCACACACCGTTCACCTTCTGTCTATTTCAAAAATACGACTCCATCAAAAAGACTTTCTCCTCCAAAGGAAATGCCATGTTTAAGAACTGTTTTTATTTAATGTAAAGATTACTTCTCCAGGGAGCAATAACAAAGAAGGTTGGAAGGGACTTTTCGTGTAACAGTTGTTTAAGTCACAACCAGATTGATTAATAAACTGACGTAAAATTTACATCGAAGTTAAAATGCAGTTTATAAGGATCTTGTTTGTGTCTGTCTTCTTTCAAATATTAGATTTACAAAATTATAGGTAAGTAAAGTTTTTTTTTTTTTAATTTTTATAACAGCTTTAGATCCAACGTTACACAAATAATTGTAAAGAAAATAGGCGGATTCAATTTCAAGAATGACGCAATTACAAATTATGTTGCTTGTTCAATAGTTTTGTTTCACAACAATTGTTTTAGCTTTCACATACAGTTTAAATTTGTAGTAGTGTAGTTATAGCATTTTCCATGTTATGTTGACGTTGGATTGTAAAATGACGACTGTAATTTTCATCAGTGGATGACAGAATAATACCTTTTTGAAATGAGTTATTTTTGAAGTCTAAAGTGAATTCGGTTTCTGTTTTTTTTTTTTTATTTATCCCTGAAACCACATTAGTACAATCTAAAGAAGCTCGATACTAAATCAAAATCCACAAAAAAGTGTCAGCTAGTGTTAACTAAAAAAAAAGTATGGTATATGTATATAATAATAAAGAAAAAATAAACACATCAAGAAAAGAAAGTCTCCCAATTTTATCCCTGCAAACTGTTTTGCGTCGAAAATTTCTTTGTAAATAGTTGTGATAACATAGGTGTAACTTAGGTAGGTACTTAAAAAATAACTAAAACTTTAAATTCTCTTTCTCTTCGTTGTTAAGAACGTTTTCTATAAATTGTTAATATGTTTGCTGATATTTGTACTGAAAATTCAAAAACAGGTAAGAATGAATAAAGTCCGAAAATGAAAACTGGGAAATACAAAAAAAATAGTTCCTCCTGTTAAATATATACGGATACTATGTACAATAGACAGAAGACCAACAACTAAAAAAAATCTTTACATCAAGAGGAGTGGTACGTAGATTATTATCATACCCGATTTTTAAGGACACGTTATCTCAATTTTGTAAAAATTATATTATGATTTTACATTTCAAAGTAATAATGTAAGGTAGATTCCTTGAAGCAACAAAAAAAAAGGTAACTACCAAACTCATCATATTTTCTGATCTTTACGATATGTTTCCAAACATAAAAGAATAAAATCTGTTTCAATACACATCTAAAATATATAATAACTGTATGTATAATTAGCAGATGACTCAATATCCTGAAATCAAAACATTTCAAAATTTTGATAAATCTAAAGTTCAGTTTTAGATGAGAAGATAGTTCGAATTTATACCTGTTACTCAGACAAACTCGTCATTTTGGTTATCAGAGAACAAATACATCACACCTTTCGATATTTATTATAAAAGTAAGCTTATACACACTATTCAGGTACACACGAACTCGTATCAAGTTTTGTACTTAGCTTAGGTAGTAATTTTACGTAAAATCTACTTATCTAATCTTAAGATGTATACATATAATATAGAATAATACCCATGATTATGAATTAAATTATACCGGAATCCCGATGAAAATTTATACCTCAGAAACTGACCAATGAAAATAACAAAAAAAAAAAACAATAAAAAAAAAGAACATAAATTAGTTAATTTCAGAGGTAAAATGATTCAAATACTGTACTTCTGTGCATTTTAATCACGAAACACCCAATCCAAACAAATTTGTTTACAAAACGTGAACATAATTTTGTGTATAATTTAATACGTTTTTAATAAAGAATAATTTTGAAAAATAGTATGAAATTTTAAGTGAAAGTACAGTACGCAAGCGATAAAGCGCTTAGAAAGCTTGCTATTAGTAATTCAATATAGTTACGTACTTTGCATATTTTCTACACATCGACCATTAACTATACAGGAAGGAGTTAAAAGATAATAATATGCAAAGTTGACTTAAAATTCACCTTAGGTATTTAAAAGGATGTGACATACGAACTGCTTGCATGCAAAATTACGAAAGTACAACTATTTTACTCGAAGTTGCAGTTTTTTCAATCAAGACATCCAATTATAATAAAAAAGGATACAAAATAAATAAAAATTTGTTTATTACAAGTGAAAACGACAACCGTTCACACTTAATAATTGTATGTCTTGACTTTTCAGGTGACATGAATATTACTTGTATCAAGTAAATATTTTCTGCGTCTAACAACGCTCGTTGGAGTAATATTAACACAATATTTGAAAGTCCCAAAATCACAAAAAGTGCGCAGCTTTAAACCGGCGTGTCACTAATGAAAATGTACTGATCAATCTTAATCAAACTCCTGACTTCATTATTTGTAATTTTCTTCAGTGGCGGATCAAATCGCTTGGCGAGAGGACTCTCTTGTAAATCAATAATTCCTGGCAGATTATTACCAAACATTGACTCACTTAAACGATAAACACCTGTGTTTGCCAAAGACAAATACTGCAATTCATTCAGAGACTTGAAGCTGTTCTGGGCTAACATGTACAAGATATTGCCGTCTAGAATCAGATTCCGGAGTTTGGGAACGCCCATAAAAGTTACTTCGTAGATTTGCTCGATTCTGTTGTGAGACATCGTTAATGTCTCCAAAGTACGTGATATTAAAAATACGCCTACACGATTGAAAGTGATCCTGTTCCTGGAAAGATCAAGTTTCTCAAGTTTAGAATTGTGTCTGAATGTATAAGGATCCAATGATGTAATATTGTTGTCTGAGAGTGCCACCATGGTTAATTGTTTAAGTCCCCGAAATGCTGTCACATGGATGTTGTTGATTTTATTCTGATATAATTCGATTTTTGTCAATGCTTTGTAACTCTTGTTGTAGAATATAAACTCGGGAAGTGTAGATATGTGATTGTAGGCGAGGTTTAAATTTCTTGTTTGAGTTTGTCCCAGTGGAATTTCTTCAATACCTTGACCCATTTCTACGATTTGATCTATAGGTTTTGCCGTTGCAGCCTTCGATGCGTATTGGTCGACGAAATGCAACAACACCCTAAAAACATAAATTATTATTAGGAAAGTTAAAACAATTTCCGTTAAAATATTGCATTAATGGCACTGTATCGTTAAATTTTTGTCTTATTCTCAACTAAACCACTAAAATTGTATGTTTCATTTATTAATTTCCTCTGTGTGGCGAATATCAGGTGCTCAACAAATATATATTTTTAAATTTATGATTTATGTTTTGTACAAATTATGAGACTTGTATTAACATGGACAGACCTTATGATTCAAAAGTTATCAGATAAAGGGAAGCTGTTTGTGTTCAGCGCACATAGGGGATGATAGGCAGAGAGCAAATGTTTAACGAAAAGAAATAGGACAAAGTTACGTGTATTAATCTTCCCTTTATTATATAAAATTTTGTAGATTATATTGTATATGCATAGTGGTTCAGTCAGGATTTTTTGGAAATTAAATTTAAACTTAGGCCCTTAACTTTCTTTGATGAATACATTTTTGTCATTTAAAGCTGCACTGTATTGTAAAATACCGGATGACTATTAATGATTATGATTTTATTCATCAGGTTGGCAACACATTTAAAATTTTATGATGGCATATCTGATTGTCAAAATGAAATTTAGGGAACCAAGTCATCTCCTCAACGCGTTTGTAAGGCGCGTTAGGCTGTCAAAGTTGACAGCTGTGAATTGACATGTTAACATTGCTGCCAATAGTTCAGAATTACCAATCCAAAAATTTGCTTCAATCATTAATAGTCACCCGGTCACTTCGATGATCTTAGTTTTTAATACTTTTCAGCTTTCCCGGCGGGAAAATTATTTCTAAACAAAACTTTTAATACGAAAATTTCAACAAATATTGTTGTTTATGTAGTTTTAGAAAATTGTCTCTCACATCTCTCCTCTGCAAAACTAGTTGAAAAACGCTTCATCTACTTGTTTGTTTTTGACGCAATTATATACGGTGAGTCTGATGAGACCTGTCAAGTGAGAGAGTGAAGAAAAAATCACAATAGATACTCGCTTTATTGTGGTAGAAACAAAAAAATTGGGTGTTGACAAAAAAATTATAATAATTTTCTAATAACGATATTTCAGTTTTTTCAAATAGAACACCCTATATTCCATTATTGCAATTACTCTGTTTTTTTTGTTCTCTTTCTTTTTTGTAAGTATTTTCTATATTTAAAGTTATAGTTTAGTTACTGAGATTTTTGACTTTTTTAAGGGACAGGTAGATATTCAAAAATACATTGTGGTTATAAAGCTTAGGTAGAGGTTAATAAGAATATATAAAAATATGTAGGATATTCTATACATAAAAAAATACGCTATGGCTCGAAAACAAAACACTTTGTGTCGAAAATTATTTTAATGTATGCTATTCGAAGAGCCATATAACTTTAGTCTATGAATTGTTTATTATATAATCACATATTATTCTGTAATAAGGAGTATATTTGAATAAAGGCAAAATATTCAAAGAAAATAAGAAGTTTAGAGGAAATTAACATATTAAATAAATAAATTTTAAAACTAGGTATCGTCACAAACTTAAAGAAACACAAGTTTTGCTTGTTAATTTTGAAAAATTTAAAAATATGAAAACAGAAAAAATTTCATACGTTCTCGATGAAGTATCTAAGTCAAGCATTCATCTCGGCCCATCTATTTATATTTAGTTGTCGACATGATTGGGTAATGTTTTATTGTTAAACAAATGACTTAACCTACATGATAGGTATCCATTTTTTTGTTTTTATTTGGTTTAGAGGCTCAGTAGATGTTTTAAATAACAGCATTAAACATAAATTTCACATTACAAAAAATTTCTTGTTCAACTGTTCATAGCAAAACAAATATATTCATATACAGCCCTTTTCACTATTCTTGTTTTAAGTAAAAAAAAATTCCTCCCAAATATCTCTTCAGTTGACAATAAAGGAAAGACATATGTAATAATTTTTTGCAAGAACTTCACAACTTTCTGTAAGAGAAAAATATTATATAATTAACTTTGATAAATTACATGCTGTAATATAATGTACACAAAGTTGTAGGAAAATTAGATGAATGATTTTTAAATAAATTAATAATATGATTCAGTTCGTAAATAAAAGCACATTACTGAAGTAAAAGCAGTGCTCCATCCAAGGAGATACCTTTCAATACAAATTTATAATAACTTCTACATGTGATTAGGAAGAGGCCAATAAATAGCGTCAATGTTTTTCCAAAATCTCAAGGAGGTTCACTGTGGAATCTTAAAACTTGTAAAATTGGAGTTTATAACTATTAAATGACATACACAAATTTTTATTATATCTCTCTCATCTCAACAATGCCTTCATCAACATTTACGAATACTAATAAATAAATGGTCAACATTTCACTATCTTTATTACAACAACAAAACACTGCGTCGCCGAACATTTGTTCAGAATATTTCTGGCAGGAAAGCTCAAGAAGACGACAAATTGACAGAATAAACAAACTTGGGTTTTCGTAGCCTATGAGCTGTAGACTCCAAGAAAACAAATACATCTTGACACTGTTTAAGACTTGCTTTGGTAATCGCTCATGATGTGAAGAGATAATTTAATCAAACCGAAACAAAACTAAAAGATAAGTTTGCCTTTATCAAAGCTTTACAATAATGGTATTGCACCTGCATCAGTATTAGCAATTTCTGCTTTTAGATCCTTGCCAATGAGATTATGTTCTGAGAAATTTGTACCAGCATTATATTCTTGAAGAACATTCTCATACAGGGTATTATTGAAAGGTGCGTACAACAAAATTGACAGTTCTTCGCGAAGTCTAAGAAATCTGAAAAACTTATTTTGTGTTATCAAAATTACATGGGGAAAATTAACCCTTATCCAAACTTTTTAGACGCTAATGAAGGATAAATAGGTAAAATGAATTTATTTTAGTAAATCCTAGCAACTGTAACAATAATAAAAAAATAAGAGACCCTTTTGTTGCTATAGAAACGAAAGATGACCTTTTTATCAGAGACGTACAAGGAATTTGGACATAAATTTTAATAATTGTTATCTCTAAAAGGAGAACACTTTTACCTGAACTTTTTTTTACTTTTAGCACCCATACTTCGAGACCAATTGCCGATTTTATTTTGTACGTACCTTTCAATAACACGCTGTATACTAAAAAGCAGATAAATTGTTTCAAGAAAAGAGTCATCCAAATGCCTGTACCATTCGATGTACAATAATGCTGAAGTCTGGCTGCAGACGAGGAATAGAAATATTCGTAATTTTCCGAATCACAAATTTTTTCATTTTTGCATTGGAACAAAATGATTCAAAAGTTCTAATCCTAGATGTACTCTCAGAATTAATTGCAGATGAGCAACAGCTGAGGTAGACATTTTAGTTACAGCTGTGACGACAAAACTTTATGTGGATGTATTGCAAAAAAAATCAAGAGCTCAAGTTGGTTGCGCTATGTATGAATCGTAAGGATAATGGACTAATAAGAACTTATTAGGGTGAGGGAACAGAATGAAATGGAGGTAATAGCTGCTTACGTTCATGTTTACTGATGATTTGGCAAATGAGTTAGTTATAGCAGTAAATATTTAATTATAGAAGTGAAGAAAACAAAGCAATTGGCAAGTTATTAACAAATATGTGGACAACGATATTAAAAATTAACACAAAAATTGTCTGGTTTAAAAAAAAATGGGAAAAACTAGAAAAGAAAGAATACACTCTTGTGATATTTTTTTCTCTTTTTTCTTTCATTTTTGCTATTATTTCTTTGTGTATTATTTATTTCACTGGTTTAATTATTTATCTGTCATCTAATCTATGTTTTGTGACACAGTAAAAACAAAACAAGCAAAGTACATAAAATTTAAAATTTATTGTACGAAATCTTGTTTAGTGTTATAAATTTGATATTTCTATAAATATGAAACGAATATAATCCATTTCCTTTTCAGTATATGGAACTTACAATATGCTAATCAGTTGTTTGTCTCAGAGTGTTTTTATTATATCTCTTCTCTAGTCTGTTACTTATACTATTCAAATTCAACATGATGCACCTGGAAGCAAGGCGCTCCGGCCTTTTGCCTCTAAGGCATTCCCGAAGGGAAAAATCACCATCCTTTGCATTGCACTACCCCCTCACCGGAGGACGACACCCGTACGTCGAGGCTTGCGATTCAACCCCGTAATAATCTTTTTAAACAATGTATACGTTGATACACACTAAGCTACACTTGTACAAAATTAGTGACAGTGGAATGTAACTTAGGTTTTTAATAACCGCATCTTATCATTGTTGCCATAGTTTAATAATATATTTATGATTTTTAATGAGTTCTTCACATAGGCACATGGTCAAAATATTTATGTTATTGACCATTGAAGGTTACTACCACTAAATTCATCATGTTCAATCCTATAAATATATCGAAGTTAATGAAGTTATCTTTTTCTAATTTTAAACTTTTATTAGAGAGAGAGTTATACCAGTGTCAGTAATGACTAATGAGAGTCTATATTTTTGTAAGACAAAAAGGACGGATACAAGATTTATTGAATTATGCCTTTGTGTTGAGGTTAACATTTTCATTCATATATTCCTCTGTATGCTGATTCATACTGGTTAGTATTCCACTATGAATGAAATCAACCAAAATAGATCACCTTCGATGTCTTAATTGAATTTGACCTACTACCTGAGCTATTGCTGTAAACAATCTATACATTATCAAAGGAAGCATAAACGTAAATAATTTAATATAATTTTCTTACACTTTAAGACCCAAAACTTTATTGTTTACACAATAAAACATGTAAAAATTCTTGTTTTTAAATAAAATTAAGGAATAATATTTATTAACACCGTGCGGCCTACATATATCTATAAAATAAACATCAAGGTTCAAACTTATTAATTACCAATTGAATGAACAGAAATGCACCAACTCGTACCAACCTAAATAGCAGGAGATATGCAATGCCACTACATGCTTCTATGGAAATGACTTTAATTATATCTCACATAATGAAAAACATAATCAGAGCAACATATTTGTTAAAACTATCTCAAATATATACTCACTTTTGCCACAGTATCGCAAAAATCACAAGATTTAACACACAACTCATTCTGTCCGGCAAACTTTAGCACTTGTTGAAAAGCATGTACTCCAAATGTCTTCCTTTAACATTAATAATTTATCATTTGTTACGTCACCTAATCAGCGCCAAATTCAAATAAATTTATACAATGTATTTCTTATCACTTTTTTGTTATCAGTTAACTTAGCGTCTCGCTTGAAGAGTGCTAATTTACGATGATTACTATTTACTGTAGTGTTAATTATTCGTCTCTTCAATGGATTCACGAATATAGTGCATTTGTAACTAGATTTATTTATTACTTTGGAATTTAGATGAGGTTATCTCGAAATTTATCATTTTTATAACATTTTAACTATCGCTTACAATTTGATCGTCACTCAACTAATGCCTCTCTGCAAAAGAATATCTTTTATTTACAGTAGAGAGCAGCTGTAATCTTACTGACCTGTCTGTTTTGATCATTTGGAATATTATTTTTAACACAAAAATTGATAATGTCGTTGGGGATAAACAAGAGTAAGAACATTTCCTAATATGTAACATTATTAAATTACCTTGAGATGTTACGTACCGGTACGTATCAAATTAGGTCCAGTCGAGACCGTAAATTTCAGACTTAATAAAGTGGAAGAAAATCAGGGTATTTTTTATTAGGGACCCCTATATTAAGCTGATGAAGTAAACATTTGTTGGTATTTTACGACATCAGCGGCACACCCGGACTATGCAGATGGGACAGCTTAGCAATGGGTCTTTTCATTGAACACTTGTGTTCTGCAGCTGTATATCCTCTTGGTCTATTTCTAATTCGTAGCCCGACTGCCTTGTGTACCCAAGTCGTGAGATTGTCGAATACCTACAGCTTGCTTCCAAATTATATTACATATTTGTAAGTTACTTAAATAATACTCCTGTTCCTTGTTTCTAGACAACTAACTTCAGACGAATAAAATTTTTTGATTCGTGTGAATATAAATTTACGGAGTACTTCATCTTTTGCGCATTTCCTAAGCATAACTAAAAATCAAAAAAAATCTTTGACCTTATTTATAACTCTGACCTTGAATGAGTTATCAATGAGATTGTTTTATATACATTATTGCAAAATTTCGAATACATTATGCGCGAGGGGAATCCATTTATGACTCTGAATAATAGGTACACTACACATATACATTACACGTGTAGCCGGATTCTAAAGGGGAGGGAAAATTTTGTCGTAAAGCGAAGGACTTTTGGAACAGTTATGAAAAAATCTGCACAGAAAATTAAAAAGTCGTCTAAAGTGTACCGAGTCTTAAGTTGAATTACGTCACTTATTAATTTTATCATACCGTTAAATGAAATATCTGAATTCTTAGCAAAAGCTTTTTTTATTTGGAACTATCTCAAAATATACTTTGTGAATAAAATCATGTATTTGCACTTTAATACTTCTCTTATTACTAAAATAAAAAAATTGAACGCGTATTCAGTGTTATATTAAAACATCAAATTATTTTTGCCTGTTAATCCTCTTCAGCGTCGTAAAGGTGTTCATAAAGTACGAAACAATAAACTTTTAATATTATTTCAATAAAATTTTGATTTTTTTTCTCCGGCAACACTGAAAGTGCGAACAAAAAGCTGCTGCTGAGAACATTATCCGGATCGTTTTCTAGTCATATTATTTACGAATCTTTTGCTTGTAAATTTTATAGTGTAAAAAAATCAAGGATAGTGTATATATAATACACAGGAAAGACTCAGAACAGCAATCTGACTAAAACGGTCGGATAAGTGAAACCTTCTTTTACATAGATTTCATTTTGTAAGTATGTTTTAAAATTACCACTCTTATAGTTATGGGGTAGTTAAAAGAACAGATGAGTCAACAGTAGGCGAATAAAATAAATTTTAAAAATTGATTGTCATTTGACAAACATATGTGTGCTCAATGTTTCGATTAATTTTTCAACTGCTTGGCAATGTTCAGTCAACAACAATCGAGGAAACTTCCGTCAAATTAGTTAACGTAATGTAGTAAACAATTATGTATTTCTATAGATATATAGAATTTAAATATCAAATGTGTTTTTTCAGTTCCAATTTTTTTAACATACTTTGCATCCTCGGTATAAATTGTGGGAAAAGTCGCAGTTAACAGTTAAAGTAAACGTCTTTCCAATAATTATTTTTAAATAATTTAATTAGTTATCACAGTATAAAGTTTAGATTTTAATTTAAATATAAACAATAATAAAAATTATGGTCAATATAATTTGTATCATTAGCGTATTTACCACAACTGTATTTGCATGTTTTGTACTTTGTAACAATAAATAAAATAAAAACATCTAAGTACGTCCACATAAATCCCCATTCGTTTCCGACTGATGAATAATAATATAATTATAAAAATATGTCTAAATTGTTATTTTGCTACCTATTTCTACAAGACTTGCAAGTGATTATGCATTATTAGTAAGTAGTATTTATAATTTAATTCTATCAATGTCGATGCAGACTTATTCATTTTTTATTAAAATTCGATAAAAACGTTTTTATAATTGAGGTAGGCTCCATATTATTACATTATGTAATTTTCGTTGTTTTCATTGCACAACTTTTTTAATCTATTCTTATATATCAGTTGTATATATTATAAATGTTATTCAGACAAAAACTGTCCATAAGAAATGAGATACATCCAATCGTACGTAATTGTTATATAACCTCAGCCTGAATTTAACATCTGACTAGCGAATGTAATTTTCAGATTATATGTTAGAAAAAATGTGACGCCACATCGGAAAACCCAATAAATTAGAACGTAAAATGAAGCATTAGATACCATTAAGAATGTTTGCACCGAACGTAATTGAAAAAAAGGAACATAATTTGAAGTCGAGTCATCCTTGAAATTGAATCCGTATGTCTTCTCTGCAGTGATATGTTTAATGCTGCGTCTAAAACTACGTCAATGAAAAGTTTTTAACAAAATTAATTTTAATTGCCGAGTTTGTAACCCTGATATTTCATACACACACAAAAAAGGCAAAATCCAAGATCCGTATAAACTGATTTTTAACTTTGATGTAAACGTTACGCTAATTTATTAATCAATCTCGCTGTGACTTTAACAACCGTCACATGAAACGCCCCTTCTAACCTTACTTTTCTTGTTTTCTTGTTTGTTGCTTCCTGGAGACAGTTCTTTTGAGAACCTTATTTGCGTATTTGTGTATTCACTCAAAAATGGCATGTCCTTTTGATCAGAAAGCGTTTATATTTTCACTCGCATTTTCGAAATGGTCAGAAGGTAAACGGTTAATTATTACTGTCAGTGATTTTTGGACACATTTGATGAGCAGCTGTTGGAGAAAAACTTTTCTACACACTAAGCCTGGTTTCATTTAAGTGGCTACATTAATTCTCAAAATATGAGAATACGGAGCACCGAAAAGCCACATGTTTATATTGAAACTTCCTTTCATCTCAAAAATGGTTATTCCTCTTCAAGAGAACCTATATAGCTGCTATATAGACATCAACATGAAATTTTACTCTTGCAAGTTATTTTTTTGTTGTCCTTACCACAAAACGGGCGACAATTCCAGCATTTACTGCAATGTAATTTTATTTATTTAACAATAATATAATTTTGTACCAATTTTCCTTGTAACTTCACATTTATTTCATTAAAAATATTGTTAAAAAGTCTCCGTTTGATATTTATCATTGTGGTTACCGACATGCTAAATTAATTCTTTTCAAGGATGACTCGATTACAAATTATGTTGCTCGCCCGATATATACTGTCAGTTGTGTATTACTATTGGAAGGTATAATGCATAAAATTATGTGTGTATTATTATCCTTAATTTTTGCACAAAAATCCTTTACAAAAACAAAAAAGTGATTCTTAAAAAAATTCACAAAAAGAGAACCATTAAATCATTCTTTCGCAAACCAGTGGTTTAATATTGGCTTGGCTCTGAAGGCTGAGAACGCAAGTTATTAATACCTCTTAGCTAAACCTAGACCAAAAACACACAAAAAATTTACAAAATGCAAAAAAAAATGTAAATAGCAGCCAACTAAGACTGAGTATTTTCCATATAAGACATAAGTAATAAAGCAGCAATAACAACACGATCTTTGATCCTTACATTTTTCAAGTCAAGCTTTCAATTTTACTATAATCTGACAATACGAAAATTCTATCAGAGATTTTTTTTTTAAATTCATGACTATCTGTGATCGTGTTCTTTACTACTCTCTCGGTACATGAACTGATTACGCATATTATGTTATGTGTTTTTAGTAATGTTGTTATTGATTGTAAGTATTTTGACATGAGTCAAAAGGTCTCAAAAGACAGCAGGCGTTACTAATGCACTACCCTGAAATGGATGGTGTAATAAGAATGGGCGTACGCTGTGGCAAACGCTGCGTTTCATTAACTGCTGTAATCCCTTGATATTAGGGGCGGTTAAACTAAAAAAGCTTTTGTCAAAATGCTGACAACTCTCGTTTAATGAACGCCGCCACGTGACACGTTCATAGTCGTCCTTAGAGGCTGCACTTTTACAGTGATATCTGATATCTGATTAAATTTCGTTTTACACTTGATCCATTAAACGATCCGCAACGAGCAATAAATCATTGTTGCACGATATTTTTTATAAACTCAAAGAGAATCTTAAAGTCATAATTGGACATACGGGTGCATCTTGTTTTTAATTACTTTCGGGTAAGGAGATATTTCGTTTTATAATTTTTTCATGGGATTTCACAAGTCTTACAAGAGTTTAAAAATGAAAATCCCCAGTTTTCATTTTTCTTTCGGTCTGCTTATATGACATAATTTTCGAAACTACCAAATCGATCTGAGATTATTACTACGATATAGCAAAACGTCAACCACAACGTATTTCATTCAAAACATAAAAATAGGCCTGGAAATTCAAATTACGAGTATAAGTACAATTTAAATACATTATCGATTTCTTCAAAATTTATGAAATGAAAATTTACACACCCCCAGGAGTGAAACTGCTTTTATTTCAGAATTTTCTTTTCAGTAATTTCACACAGTGTCTTAAAAAATCTGATAAGAAGGCCCATCCCTTTCTTTGCGGTTCAGTGGGGGCATAAAAAAATCATTAAGTAGGTACATTTTTATTAAAAAACTAATAATAATAATTTGTTGTGATGTTGTTTTTTTAATAACAGAAGTGAACGGCCCGAATTCTGTAACAAAACTCAGTTTCCTATTTGTCACGGTGGTGCTAATTTCTAAATGAATCAGGTCGATTGTAATGGGACAGA